TTTTGTTGTTCAACCTTGATAAAAAGTTGAACCAAATCATTCAAATCTTTATAAGGAAGAAGCTCAACTTTATCCCTTATCTCAAAAGTCAACCCACTCAAAAATCTAGCAATGGTAATGTTTTCTTCCTCCCTAATGCCAGCCCTCATTAAGTATAACTCCATCATTTGTCTATACTCTTCTACAGTCATGTTTCTCTTATGGAGTCTTTGGAGCTTGTTGATAAGCTCCCTAGTGTAGTAAGAGGGAATATGCCTCCTTCTCAAGGCACTCCTTAATTCATTCCAATATTGAATTGGGGGATCATTATGGAGACGCCTATCCCTAACAAGGGATGTCCACCAATACATGGCATGACCTTGAAAGCTTAAGGTGGCTAAGGAGACTTTTCTTTCTTCACTCACTTGATGGAAAGTGAAGATTTGTTCAACCTTCATCTCCCAATCAAGGTACCCCTCAACATCATCTTTGCCATGAAAATAAGGGAGATCTACCCTAGATTCCCTTGCTTTGGGGGTCCTATGAACTCTTCTAGGAGGTTGTTGGTAATGATCTCCTAAGGCTAGGCTATCATCATGCATTGACTTTCCTAGTGTTGAACTATGAGTTTGGGAGCTATGTCTACTTCGGTGCTTGTGGTGTAATTTTTCTTCTTTTTCCTTTAACAAACGAATTTCCTCCTCCAAAAGAGCAAGTTGAGCCTCTCTTTCAATTTTTTCTTTTAGTCTTTGTTTAGACTCTTGCTCTTTCTAAATTTTGAGTGATCTTAATTCATGTGTTACTTTTGCCATGTCATTGTAATCACTTGAATTAGTATCACTATGTGGAGTAGAAAATTCTTCCATTATAGGAGAAAGATTTCTTTTTATGAAAGAAGTTTTGAAAGCAATTTTTTTTACAAGGTTAAGACTAAGTACTTGGGGAACTAAGTATACAGATTGAACTTTGGAGGGAGGTGAGCTACTAACAGCCACTTAATAACCAAACCTTTTCAAGTAAAAATTACTAATCCCCCTTGTAGTTAATCTCTACCAAAATCTTTTCAATGAAAATTATTTTTGTTATTTGTGAACTAAGATATACTAGACGAATGAAAGCAATTAAAACAAGAATGATTGCAAGAATTAAACTATCTAAACGTTTCCTAAGGTGAGAGCTTGAGAGATACCAAAGATCAATCAAGGACCACTCTCACCAAGTCTAACGAAAATTTAAATCCTAAGGAGAGATGGTTGTGTACCAAAGACACTCCCAAGACACTCCTTCAAATGGCCAATTACAAGGTAATTACAAAACTGAACAGCAAAAGAAACAAGTGGCTTAAAGAGAAGTTAAAAACAGCCACCAAAATTAGTGAGGGATTAGTGACCAATTTTGCAACAAAATTTCAAAGTAGTAAGGAAAATTTGGTCTCTAAATTCGTCACTAATACTCTATTTTTTTTAAATTCAAATACAAATCAACTTGAAACTCCAAAGTATCTCCTCGGATTAGAAGGTCCAGCAGCCACAAATTTCCAGCCACAAGTGTTTGGTGTTTGATATTTTGGTAGCCAAATCCGAGAGCACTCCTTCCTTCCTCCTCCTTTTCTTAGTCCCCTTTTGATGACCCTTGTATAACTAGCTTCTAAGGAGATAGGCTAGGTCAAACATAGGTCACATTTGAATACCAAAGTGAACATAAATAGCCAATAGATTTGAGAAGTAAGGAAGACAAGAGTAGAGTTTAGGAGAAGACAATATAGATGAACAGGAACATGAAATGGCAAGGACAAGAAATAAATAACCTAGATAGGATCTAGATTTGATTAACAAAACCAAAACACTCAAGATATGTAAGCTGAAAACAGAATGTATACAATAAGCAATGTCAAACCGAGAAGAAATTTTGTGGTCAATTCCAACACAAATCTCCTTATATGGCTTTTACTTTGAGTAATTAGGTTTAGCACCTTTTTTTTTAATCACTTTGCTTTTGTATTTTCTTTGAAACTTTTGTTATATTTCTTTTTTAAATCTTAGGATATGCCTTTTTCTTTGAATCAAATTGCAAACACCACTCTTGGTCACACTTAAAATGAAGCACAAAACCGGATTCAATTTGAATTGCAAATGGCAAGAAAATTAGGTTAAAATGTAATGTAAATGCAACATGCTTTTTATCCTTGCTTGTTTGTTTAGCACATGCACGGTTTTGGCTCTCAAATTCAAATTTCAGAATGAGTCTTAAACAACAATTTTCAGCAAACAAAATTCACACAAGATCAAACTCACGGATAAGGAGAAAAAAATTTCAAGACATTTTCTAGTATAGGAAACCTAAATTCTAAGAAAACTACTAATGAACTAGTAGTAGTTTATGAACTCAAATTCAATCAAAAAAATTATGAGCACACTTAGACAATAAGGATCTCGGCCAAATCCAGAAAATTTTTTCAAGAAGCAAACAAAATCAAAAGGTTAAACAAGCATAGCTAAGAATGATGAACAAGAAAGAACTACACATTACTCCTAGACATGGATTCAAAATAAAATGACTCAAACATACATTGACCGAATAAAATTTCAAATAAGACTCAAGTAAAACAAAAAGATATTAGGTAGAAAATTCCTAAAAGGCAAAAGAATTGGAGCATGATTCATGGAAGCAAATATCATAAACGGATAAATGAATCATTCAAGCAACATGTTACTAGATCCATGAAATTTTAAGGCAAAAAATTAGATCTAGGAAAGATTAAACTCAAAAGTGACAAGAACACAAGATGAACAAGATGAATCAACAAGAACAAGATGAACCATGGATCAAAATTCGAAAGACAAGATAAGGAGCTTATCTCTTGAAGACCGAAGCTCTAGATACCACTTGATGAGATTCCAATTATGAAACCTCAAGAATTCCTTCAATGCTTCTCGGATTCCTTGGGAAGTTGTCAAGGAAGAAGACTCAAAGTAGCACCAATGTGACCTAGGCTTGCTCAAGCTAAGTCCGAGAGAAGAAGATGCACTCTAGCTCTACAAAGAGAGGAGCTCAAGAAGGGTAGAGGTAGAGTGTAGAAGTGACTTTCGGAAATGGGAGAATTCAAAGAGAGAAGTCTCATGTATATCATCCAAAAGTGAATACAAATCTCGACCACTTTGATTTTATAGGGAAAAATTAGGTTAAATGAACCATGGGTTAGCCTAAGGTTAAGTGAAACCATGGTATGGTTCACTTAACCTTGGGTGGCCAAACTTTGAATTCAAAATTCAAATTTTGGAGCCAACCCGGATCCACACCATGTGCACCTCATTTGGAATGTAATTAAGCTTCCATTTGAGTTGCATTTAGGTCACACCATGTGCATGTGTTGCACATGGCAGAAATGCACATCAAATGTAAAGCTAATTACATTCTAATGCAAATACACATGCAACCTAAAATTAACCCTAAATTCAAATGACCATTAAATGTAAATTCTAAACTAAATGGCCGGAAATACAAGGCCCTAAGAAATACAAGGCCTTAAGGCCCAATCCTACACTACTCCTACTCTACTTGGGCTTGAGTCAAAGCCCAACTAAACAATGTGATGGGCTTTCCTTGAGCTTGGGCCCACTCCTCTTGAATCCTCCTTGCCATAGCCCTAGTAGTTGGGCCCTTAGCCCATGGGCCTCCTCCATCACGTACACAGTGAGGCATCAATTTGTTGCCACTACTTACGGTTATCGGTAGCAATTGCAGAAAAATTAGTGGTTAAGTGTTCGGCACGTCCTTGACCACGAAACCAAAGCTGAACTACAGCTGCCCAAGTGGTATAATTGGCTGCTCCGGTCAACTTTTCACACAGAATCGGAGGGATGTTGGTAATAGTCGTAGTTGAAGTAGAAGCAGCCATGAAAGACGAATATCAGTGGCGACCGGAGGTCGTTGATATGGACGATGGTCGAAGGTGGGTGGCGGCGGCGATCGGCGGTGAGCGGCGATTGATGGTGCCGGTTGACGGTGGCGGTCGGCAGTCGATGGCGATTGGTGATCGGTGGTGGTGGTTGGCCGGCGGGCGGCAGTGGTGGGCGGGCGACGGGCGGCAACGATGGGCGACCGACAGGTGGCGGGGGGGCGCGGGCGGGGGGGGGGGGGGGGGG